AATGTTAATGTACAGTTTTTTTAACTGATCTTGGATCAATGTGTCTTGGTGTCGGATATTCACGAATTAAATTTGATATATATTCAGTATTTCTGGTAGGTGACTTATTGCTGGTTTATGAAAGGAGGACCTATCCACGTGGAGATGTAAATATATATATATATATATATATATATAAAGAGAATATGATCATGTGGAGAAAAGTATATAACAACAAGTAGGAAAATATTGGGCAAAATCCGCAAAAAGGAGGAATGTGGATTCGAGCAGAAAATAGGATAGGTAACCCGAGCGAGACGTATTTCTGCTGGTTGGCTTCATCAGGCCCGAAATGAATGCAATTTTTTTTTTGTTTCCCTCCAACTTCGTTTCCTCAGGTTACACCCGTATCCGGATGTGTGGGCATGTGTATCTACTTTTGTAGTTTCATATGTGCATTCATTTCGGGCCTGATGAAGCCAACCAGCAGAAATACGTATCGCTCGGGTTACCTATCCTATTTTCTGCTCGAATCCACTTTTTCTCCTTTTTGCGGATTTTGCCCATTATTTTCCTACTTGTTATATATATATATATACATATATCATAGAAAAAATGTTTTGTGCGGTCGAAAAAAAGAGAAAACAGGTCGGGCTATTGATCTTTTTGTACTATTTTTACAGTTTGTATTCAATTTGAATCAGTCACAAACTCTTCGTTATGCCTACCTCCACTTGTTGAGTACAATAATGTTAGCGAGTGCAGAGCAGTAAAAAGATCAGGTTATGAATACCTCTTATGCAAGGTGATTCGAATCGAATGACATCGGATCTCTGGATTAACTACATCTCCTGTCTACCATAATACGCATTAAGGACTAATGTCAAAGGTGTACATCAATTTTACGATTTTTAGAAGTGATTTAAAACTAATTGTTATATATTTTCATAAACCCCTACCATGAGTACCCATTGTCATAAACCTCATAGGTACCTAATTCAGGTGATGCAAGCCATTATCTGATCTGATTGACAATACATTACACTCACGTTTATTTTGTGTCATTATCTCTAGAAACAAAAAGTTATAACGATATTTATGCGCAATTGTAGGTAATTCAGCAAAAAAAAAACAAAGTTCCCAAACTAGCTCTGTAACTTACCAAGAGATGGCAGTTCGAGGCTGTGCCTGCTGTGTAAATCAGCTGATGACCCGACAAAGTAGTGTGTAAAGTTTCCTAATCGCTTTTGATTTAAAAAAAAATTATCAAGTGTTTTTGTGTCAGCTCCATCGGCGATTTCACCATGAACAAAAAATGGTTCTAAAGTTATTGATTGCGGAACTTCGTCAACGTTTTCGCGTTATATGCTAGAAGAATGGCTTCCAGATCGCTCGTCATCTTCCAAAAAGTTTCTCCCGTATTGAAATGGGAGGCATTCAAACATTTGAGAACAATTCTTCGCTTCATCATCATAAACTTGAACTGAAGTATATCTACTTTTACTGTAGGTGATTTTTCAAGCCAAAATTTAATGGTCTCTCTTTGCTCCAACTTTTCGTTAATGATGAAATCGCCGAAGTAGGAAATCAAGCGAGCACAAAAGACTAAATAAAAATATTTTATAACAAAAGCTTCCCACATGAGGTTATCAGCAGATTTATACAGGGTGTAAACGGTATGATAGTCATTATTTAAATGGGTGATAGAGGGGGTTAAAAGAAGCAAAAAGTTTCATATCACATGGGGGTCAAAACGGCATTTTTTTTTTAGAGAAAAGCGACTTTAAAGTAAAATAAAATCTGACAACGCCGCAATGCCAGACGCAATTACGACGGAACGCAGTGTAAATAAAGATGAAGTTTGTTATTTTTGGCTCTTAGGTATTATTTCATTATTTGATAATGTACTCGTAAAATGCAAACAATTAAAAAAAAACGGACTTACCACTAACTGTCTCTGCGCTTCACCTGGTGTGTGAAAGTTTATTGAACGTATTAAAAAATCCACTTATAAATAGGGAACACAATTTTGATACATACATTGGTTTTCTTCTTAAAACTCACACTGCACTTTTTTGTATTTAAAGACTTTCCACATAAGCTTCATTACGACGAACCCAGTTTCTTCTTACTGTAGGTCCTCGAAGTTGTCCATTTATTATTTCAGCCGCATTAAATTTTTTTTCGCGAAGTTGTGCTTGAGTTATTATTGGACCAGCCCCATAAACCATCCCTTTAAGTTCTTCCAATACCAGAAATCCATCGGATTGAGGTCAAGAGATCTTGCTGGCCATTTTCGAGGATCAGGAGCATTTCGACCGATCCAGCGATTTGGATAATGTTCATTCAAATACTGAATGACGCCTCTAAAAATGTGTGGTGGTGCCCCGTCATGAAGAAACCACAAATTCTGACTCCGTTGTAATGGCATGTTGTCTAAGTGATGTTCCAAAAATTCTGGTAGGTTATTGGCTAGGAAGCTAAGGTATTCTTCTCCTGACAGCTTTGGGGGTAACTCAAAAGGGCCAATTACCTGATCGTCAAGAATACCCGCCCAAATATTTATTTTAAAACGTTGTTGGAAATGACCTTCACGAATGGTATCAGGATTTTCATGGGCCCACGTGTGAGTATTATGGAAATTTAATATTCCGTCTCGCGTAAAAGTACATTCGTCCGTCGCTAGAATGTTTTTAAAAAAATCCGGATTTTCAATATTTTTGTGCAAAAATCACTGACAGAATGTTAGTCTGCGAGTATAGTCTTCTGGTAACAAGGCCCGCACTCGTTGCACATGGTAGGGATAAAGCAAATTTTCCCGAGTGCTGATATCTGCATTGATTTCCACGATATTTAAAATTCGTTCCTCCTGCTCTACAGTAAGTGGTCTGTCACGAGTGCGAATATTAGTGGGCTGAACACTTCCTGTATCTCGAAGTCTTTGGTACACTTTCACAAACGTCCTTCTGTCTGGGTGAACCCGTTAACGAAATCTGTCGCGATAAATTTGAGCTGCAAAATTTGAATTCTGACGAACTCTTGATTCGAGCACATTGTAAATAAACACGACGACGTACACGAACAAAAACAAAACGATAACTAACCACTGTTACCGTTTGCGATCGATTGCCGGTTCGATAAGAGTGACGAAAAACCAACGCGCTGTTGTCATGTGTGTGTTTTAAATATTCAATTTAATGAAACTTACTTACTGACTACAAATTTTGGCTTAACTTAGAAAAACTTAATGCCATTTATTTGTTAATTACCCAATTTAAAAACGTTTTAGATTAGATTATAAAAATTAGTAAGATTGTGGTCGATATAAAGCACTTAAAGTTGTAAACTATAAAGCCATTTAGACAAAAATCTATTGACTTTTGGACCATGAATCATATGAACTTTTTGACTTGTTGTGACTCCCCCTATTACCCATTTCGATAATGACTACCATAACGTTTACACCCTGTATAGCAGGTACAGCCTCGAGCTACCATCTGTTGGTAACTTAGAGATCTGTTATGTTGAGATATCAGCATTCATATACAGGGTTTGTCCGGAAAGTAATAGGATTCATTTTCTTCCGCCATGACTGTACTTCGGAGCGTGCGCGCACCGACTGGATTCGGTAGAGGGTGTTCCTAGCTAACGAATGAGCGGCTGGTCAGTTGTCTCCGAGCACTTGGAGAGTCAGGACAGGCATTTTCGCGCGACGTGTTTCTGTGAGTGGTGCAAGCCGAAAATGCAGCGTTCGTTAGAGCATAGGTACGCGATTAAATTCTGTGTGAAACTCGGTAAATCTGCGACAGAGACATTTGATATGCTCAAGCAGGCTTACCCAGGTGTTGCTTTAGCAAGAAGTGGTGTGTTTCGATGGCATCAGGCCTTTTTGGAGGGCCGGAAAGAGGTCGCTGATGAAAACCGTGCGGGAAGACCTTCGACTTCGACAAACACCGATAATGTGACTCGTGTGCGCAAAGTTTTGAACTCAGACCGTCGACTAAGTATTCGTTCAATTGTCCAGATGTTAAATTTACCAAAATCTGTGGTTCATGACATTGTGATACGACATTTGAATATGCGCAAGGTGTGCGCGAAGATGGTCCCAAAAGTGCTCACTGACGACCAGAAATTGCGGCGAATGAAAGTGTGCTAAGAAAATTTGAACATGTGTGAAAGTGAACCCCAATTTTTGAATAACGTAATCACAGGTGACGAGTCGCGGATCGTTGAGTATGATCCCGAGACAAAGAGGTAATCTTCCGAGTGGCACACGACGGCGTCTCCTCGCCCAAAAAAGGGAAGAATGAGCAAATCCAAAGTGAAAACGATGCTCATTGTCTTTTTTGACATCAAAGGCATCGTCCACCATGAATTTGTTCCTCCTGGACAAATCCTCAACGCCAAGTTTTACGTGGAAGTGCTCAGGAGACTCAAACCAAGGGTTAGTCGGGTCCGACAAGACATCGCAGCCGACTGGAAGTTGCACCACGACAACGCCCCGGCTCACACCGCCTTTCTTGTGAACAGCTACTTGACCAAGGCCGGCATCCCAACGCTTCCGCAGCCGTCCTACAGCCCAGATGCGGCCCCTCCGAACTTTTTTTTGTTTCCTCGCCTGAAAAGGTCGATGAAAGCCAAGAATTTTGAGACGACAGAGGGGATCCAAGCAGCATGCACCGCGGCTCTCAAGGCTATTCCGGAGAATGCCCTCCGTGACGCCTTCAATGCTTGGAAATCGCGCTGGCAGCGCTGCATCGACGCAGAAGGAGCCTATTTTGAAAGTTTTTAAAGAATTGTAACGATTGGCCCAATAAATTTTTTTAAATCGACTCAGTACTATTGCTTTCCGGACAAACCCTGCATATTCTCAGTCCACTTTGAGTAAGTCATTGTTGCCAGTGTATAGTCAAAAAACCTGGTTGAAAATTCTTAAAACCACACCAGTAATGCTCTACACCCCACCTCTAGTCCCTCCCACCATATGCCACCCTAGATCGTATGCGATTGATCTGCTGTACCTATCCATCGGTCGTGTGCGACTCCCGTCGTCGTTTGAGATGCGTCGTGTGTTCTGTGACATCTTTCGGTTGTGCCTTTGCTCCGCCTCCCTCTTGCAAGCTGCAGTGACTTCCGTCCAAATCTCCGATTGCTGGTACTGAAGCAAGCCGCTGTCCCGCCTGACATCATGTAAAACACACACGTGCAAAGCGAGTTACCCGATGAAGATATGGTGAAATGGGAACGTGGTTTTCAATTTTGAACTACAGTAATGGACGAAAGTATATAGACAAATTAATATTGTGCTCTATTTCTTTTTTAACTTGTTTTATTAATACACCAACCTGTATACATAATTCGTTATAGCATAATACTCACTTATACATAAATAAATTCATTAGACTCCCTACAATAAAAAATTAATTGAAAAAAACTGGAACTATGAAGGACAAAAATATATAGACAAAGCAAAACAATTATAGAAAAAAGAAGCAAAGTTCATTGAATTATAGAAAACCAATCATGTTTGTGTTAATATTTTGTAGCATAACCATTACTATCAATCACCGCCTGGCATCGTCTCGGCATAGATTGTAGAAGTTTCTTGATATAAGATTCATCAATCTGTATCCACTTTTGCTCTAAAGCGGCAAAAAGTTCATCCTTGTTTGAATAATTTTTATCTCGTATTTGCTTATCTACTCCCATAGATTTTCAATAGGGCTTATATCGGGACTGTGAAGGCCATTTGAGAACTGGTATTTTTTCATCCAGAGAGAATTTCTTTGCGAGATTTGAAGTGTGCTTCGGGTCATTATCTTGCTGGAAGATTGATCTTAAGGGCATATTGTCTTCCATATAGGGTAACATGACATGCTTTAGTATGTCTGTGTATACAAACTTATCCATAATGCCATCTATTCTATATAAAGGTCCCATCCCAAACCCCGAAAAGCACCCTCAAACCATAGCAGACCCGCCTCCAAGTTTGACAGTGGGCAAAGTGTACTTGGGGTTCAATCTTTGTCCACTAGGACGTCTAACGTAATGAACACGATCTGATCCAAACATATTGAATCTGGATTCGTCACTGAAACATACCCTCTTCCAGTCACAGATGCTCCAATCAAGATGCAACCGTGCAAATTGTAATCGGTCCTTACGATTTTTCCTCGAGATTAGCGGCTTCTTACTCGGGCGACGTGCAAATAACTTCAAATCATTTAATCTTCTACTTATAGTTTTCGTAGAAACACTGACAATTCATTTTGTCTCGATTTCGGCTTTTATTTGTCTTGGGGTTTTAAATGGATCTTTGGATGAAATTACTTTTATTAATCTAACTGATCTGGCATTTAGTTTTCTAGGTCGACCACTTCTCTTAGAGGCTTTCAAGAGACCTTTTTGTTTATATTTGTTCAATATTGCCCAAACTGCTTTACGCTTCAGCTTCAAATTTTTGGCAATGTCGACTTGACGTTGACCATCTTTGTATAACTCAATGATCTTAGTTTTCACATCGAAATAAATTTCTGGACCACGCGGCATGCTCTTAAAATCACTCAACTTGTTCCACAATACTTGATGAACACAAACTATCCTCTTATGACACGAAACTGTACTAAACTAATGTTGAAAAGAATTTGTCTACATATTTTTGTCCCTCATAAAAAAGTGCTTATATTCAGAATTGTATTGTGCAGATAATGTAAAAACAAGGAATTTAGTTTTTCTACTAATAACGCATTTGATAATGGAGCAATGAAGTATGAATTCATTTTCTTCAGGTATTTAATTAAATATTCATATTTGTCTATATATTTTTGTCCATTACTGTATGTAATTAGAATGCTTGATTTATCAAATAATTAATTGAATATTCTTTAACGCGAAATACTATATGGTTTATTCTGACAGCTAGTCTGCAAATGTGAGTTATGCTAAGGCCAGACTGTTTCAGGTAGTCTTTCGAACGTTTTCATACAGGGTGATTCACAAGTCGTGACCAAAAATGAAACATCATACACAGAAAATTTTTTTAATAACCGTCAAATGGAAAGAACTAAAATTTGTTTGGTATGTCGATTTACCCTAGTATTGTCCACAATCAAAAGTCTTTACTTTAACGTGCACCAGTGGCGAAGATACCGGGGATTAGTGGCATTATTTTTCAAAATAAAAATAGTACGCCACTGTAAAAACGCTCAATTTTCCGAATTTTACCTTCAATTTGCTACAAATAATTACTCGTGTGTTTTTTCCTAGAGTGCGCCTGGTTTCGTAAAAATAAAAATAAAACAAAGACTTTTGAATGTGGACAATACTTACGTAAATACATATACCAACTTTTAGTTCATTTCACTTGACGGTTTTGAAGACATTAAACATTTTTTTCTCATTTTTAAATGTATCTTTTTAATGAAGCCTCCGAGGAAAAAAATGTTACACAGAAAATACGGTCCTGTGTATAATGTTTCATTTTTGGTCACGTCTTGTGAATCACCCTGTATAACAGCATACTGAATAATATGTATGTGACGTATGTTCCTACATTTTACTGGCCGGTAGTTAATGATAAATGGTTTAAAAATTTTTGACACACAAGTAACGCCTTCCTCTTTAGAAAATCAGCCAAGGTTTCTTGTTGCTGTTAAAACAGAGCAATAAGGAACCACTGTTATCTGAACGATCAATGATCAATCGTTGTTATTCCATAATGTCCTCTTTAACAACACTTACCTACAACTGTAGGATGCCTTTATGGTCTCCGTGAATGTCATAGTGCCCTTTCTCTCCTTCAAAAAGCCTGGGGTATTTCTAAATGTCTACTGCCTCTATCAACTTCAGCGATGTTTTAAGAAATTCAGGCTGGTAAAATAGATGATTAAATTCAAGTTTTATCGGCGTGAAATATCTCAGAATTCAAAAAAATATATAATCTCAAAATAGAGCGCTTATAGGAAACAGTAGAAATCTGAGGACAGCAAAAACTATGAAAATCAAGGAGGCCATAAAGGCGTCCTACAACTGCAGGATTTTCATAGTATTTTCTCTCCTACAGAAAGTCTGGGGTATTTCTAAATTTCAACTGTTCCATGTCTCCTGTTGTGAGGTTATGTTTTCTTTTTGAATCTTAAGAAATTTTAGGCTGACAAAACAGATGATATATATCAAGTTTCAACATTTCTGAGAATTCAAAAAGAAAATATAACCTCAAAATAGTGCGCTTACACGAAAGAGTACAAATCTAGAAATACCCCAGCTTTCTGAAGGATATAAAGGCGTCCTACAATTGTAGGAACAACTGTCAATATGGACCCAAGATTCGATCTTGCAACACCTATTATGCACGCAAACTAGTTGTCTCAGATATATTATCGCTTTAAATCCGCGTTTGTATATGACGTCATAATACTTCACAGCTTCTGAATTATTTTGAACTCTTTCTAAATATGATACAATTTCGTCATTTTATCTATCATCAAAGATTAAAGGATTGCATAACTCATACCACCATGCCAATATGGCATTTGCTGATAGGATGTGTAGGCTACATTTTTTCAACTAATTATTCATAGTTCATTGTTGCTTGATTTTTGTACAAAAACAGGACATAAAGTAGCCACGTTCCCACTTCTTATCTCGTGGATACAACAGTAGAGTCACTAATATAGTTAGCATGGAAACAGAAAATGAAAGGTTATTAGTAGGTTATGGTTAGCATTCTATTTAGTATTGTTATAAAAGATTTGGTACCAAGCAAAGAAAGCATCATGCAATGTATGTACAATGTCATCAACAAAGTAACCATAATGGTATAGGGTGACACTACTGTATGAATTACAACTCAATCGGTCATTGTAAAAACCTCTGTAAGTCACGTAATCTGAATCTATCAGGAGACAATAAAAACTCTGGCATTGACAAACAAAACAATTTTAAAGTATTTTTTGAAGCTTAATATAGTACTTGAGTACTCCTAAGAATGGCATTTCGAATAACCTTCACAGCTTATTCTTAGCAATAATGGGAAAAGCAGGAAAACTATGATAGACTTACGTTATTTTAGCAGAAAATATGATTAGCGGTATTGTAACTTAACAAAATAATCATATTAATCGTATTTTTCATTGCTTATTATTGAAAAATACTTTTAAATATTGGCTTATTAACATGCCACATGATTTATTTTTGCATCCTTATATTTTTTAGGTACATAGGGGAAACCCAAGAAAACTAAATACCTGAGCCGCTTTCCAGTGCCTCATTTGTATTACTCGGAGTAACCAGCCACCACCTGTCAATACCGTTCCAGTGCTCTATTATGTATCCATCGAAGAAAGAGACCAAACCTAAATATATTCACGTATACTCCACGTGATCGCGTTCCAGAACGCCGAGCACGTTACAGGGCCGTACTAAGAATAAATGATTTGTGGTTCTACGACACGATCAAAAAGTATGCAAAATTATTGCAGGCATGTATAGGGTCCAAACGTAAAGCTTGGAATTAATGTATTCTTTTAATTTAACTGTCATGGCCAAAAAGAAAACAACCATCTATTGTTGTTTTTAGTAGAAGTGTTTTTTCAAGAAATTATACTCGAAATGTGTCGTAAGGCGCATTTATAAAGCAGGTTTTTAAAAAATGTCTTGACAAATTAAAACGATAATTGCATATGCATACAAGTATACCTAACCACCGCTTGAACATGGACGTCAGTGTGCAAACAGTTAATTTTAATATTACACTAAAAAATGAATAGTTAGGTGGAGTTGAAAGAAAGAGGACTTGAATACATGATAATATATACTAAATATTATACAAAAATTTATTGCATAGACATTTTACCTCCAAAACCGGAAATACATATATTTGAAAATGAAAATCATTCTAGATCTGAGGCCGTGGAACTCCCACTGTCATCAAGATTTATGATTAAAGGGGCAACGTGAGTACCAATGATACCGTCTAATTCCCATATTTTAGGTTGAAACCATTTCTTTTACACGCTGATACATTTTCCCACTTATTCGGTGTTATTCTTTGTATAGCATCAAGAAAAATATGTTTAAGGTCAGAAAATCTAAAACATTTATTTTCTGCTGCAACATATTTTTGTCTGCCCAAAGGAGCTCAATCGGATTCAGCTCACAATGGTAAGGAGGCAGTCGTAAAACAGTTTTATTTTGTTTTTTGGTCATTTAATCAATTATGTTTAGGTTATATTTATTTTTATGCGTCTTGACAATTTGTAACAATTCTGCCTTAACCGTTGTATCATCATGATCAATCTTTTTATTTTTAAGCCATCTTTGAATTTCTGATTTTTTTGTTGACGTTGTTGGATTTTTCTATAATTTTCTCATGTGGAATGAAGCATTATCTAATACTATAACCGAATTATCTTCAAGCTTCGTTATAGTATTTGAGAACCAATTTTCGGCTCCATCCATTTCTTCATTGTAGTCTCCCGTTTCTTTGGATTCAAATGCCCATAAAGCATCGGACATAAATCCATCTTCATTACCGATGTGGCAAATTATCCATCGCTTACATTTTCCTAAAAATAATTCATTTTGGACACTTTAAAACCGCTCCTATTGAAAGCATTAAAAACCCAACAAAATGATTGCTTGATTTATTATCTCAATATAGCTTAAGCATGAACAAAAACAAAAATAAAATATAATTTTAGTTGAAATTCCTCGTCTCACAAGTATTGAAAAATATGTCCTGAACACTTGAGTCACCCCTTCCTTGCATTTCGTATTTACAAATGTTGATAATTATTTGTTTTTCGCTAATGCTAAAATGAAGCCTTTTAGCTCTTTTTTTAGGCGGTGTGCAGCTTATATCAACAACTTCACATAGTAATACCAGTATAAATCTGATGCCAACTCTGTACTGTACGGCCAGCCTCCGGGACAGCCGGCATGTACGGTCGTATCATCTCCCACTCCACCCTCTGGTTTGTCATTGGTTTTGTGTAAGGGCTCGACCTATTCTGCCCAATAACAGTTATGCTCCCTATCTCTTGAAATATATCAGTGTACTGATCACGCAATAATCACGCGATGATCACTGTTTTGGTTTAGTCTCTTTCTTGGATACATACATAATAGAGTATCATGCACCTGAATTACTCATTTTTTAAATCCACGCCCACTCATGCACAAGCATTTTATTAGTTGTTATACGTTCCGAAATAGTGGGGATTGGGAATAACGAAAATGACAATGTGTCAAGATTGTTAGGTTTTCATCGTTTTTGTTTTTTTTGCACCAAACTCACATTAAATCGATACCAGACGATGGAGGATGGTAAAAAAGCTAATAATGTTATGACCCAGAGTCACAACGTACATTTGAGATGTTCCTGAATAATAAAGATCACAAGAGAGAGCAAGAAGGCGGGTTCATAGCGGCTTGTAGTTGGCTTCAACTATAATAGACAACTAGATACTTTGAAAATAATTTTGAATATCTACACAAAAATATGAATTCGGCACATTTATCCAGCAGCTTCACAATAAAAATACAGACCTCTGACGTTTTGAGCCATCATTCCAAAAACATCATCAGGCATCAATTGGTTGGTCTAACAATGCGTCAAAGCAAAACATCAAAAAACAGGTTAGGTTCCCGTGCACATTTGCTAGAGGAGTTCGGGAGCATCACTCTCCGGGTGCATACATCTCTGAATTCAAAAGCACTGGAAAGCGGCTCTAGGACACGCATCCCGCATGCGGATGCGCGACGGCTGAGACGAAACTTCGCGCGCGTAATTTAAAAATCGAATACCAGAATGGAAACGAAACAGCGATGGTCCAGTCACGGGTGTCAACGTACACCGTAAAATTACTTTTTTTTGCGCGATATCTCCGAGAATTTGCTGCCAGCGGCTTATTTATAGAGATAACACTTTGAAAATTTAACGAAACATAGTTCAACTATCATATAACTGCATGATACTTAATTAGCAGTACCCTTTTTCCACATAAAGTGATTTCGGGCAAAGTGGATAGGGGCCGTAGCCGTAGTATTGTAGTTAGTGAATTTGAAATTGGTATTTTGGTGTCTATAGCACATATACAAGGTGGTGGCTCATCCATATGTGGACGGAATATTACTCATAAACAAATCCACTTTGGGAAAATCTATTTATGGGATGTTATACATGACATTTGAGGGCATATTTCTAAAATATTGGTCAATATACAGGGTGTCCCAATTTCGACCTACATATCAAAGTTGTGATTTTTCAAATGGAATGCCTCAAATTTTATTGCATATTTGGATAAACCAATTCAAAAGAAGGAAATTGATACAACATACTATTGGGTTTTGGTAATTAGCTACCGAGATATAAGGTGTTTTGTCTAGAAAAACCTCCCACTTCGGCAACCCGTCAGTCTGCCATTTTGAAATTTGGAGTGCTGAATTTTGTATAAAAAAAAAACTTAGGCACCTCAGCTTTTATCTTATTTGTAACTTTTTCGAATTTTAATTTTTACTCTTCCATGGTGGTCAAAAACACAAATTGTCGTTTTTCTCAAAAATTTCAAATGCATCACCCTGTATATTGTGCAAGTTTGGTTCCAATTTTTTATGAGCTTTTTTTTGATACTCGATACATAAAGGTTTTTACGGCTATATTAGCACGTGTTTTATGGAACGGCTTAATTCCCTAAAATACCGCGTCATCCTTGGAAACAAATAAATTGTTGATTAGTTACGAACTGTCAAAATTAGCTTTGTGAGCATTATAATAAAAACGTGTTTGAAAATGAATTTTTCTAAAGAAGAGATGGTGAATATGGTGTTCCATTAAATTATTAAAATTATCGGGCCTTTCTTTTTCGACAACAGATTAACAGGTACAGAATATTTGAATTTTTCGATCGAGCATTTGCCTTTGCTTTTGGAGGATTTCAACCTGCAAACTCGGATGCATATGTACTTCCAACATGACGGCGCACCTGCGCATTATCATAATCGTGTGCGTAACTATTTGGACACCTGGAGTAACAATCGTTGGATCGGTCATGATGGGCCTATATCTTGGCCTCCTAGATGACCAGATATGACACCGATGGACTTCTTTCTATACGTTAAGCAAGAGGTTTATAGATATTAACCATCTACCCCGGAAAATATGAAGGAACGGATTAAGGATGCTTTTCTGAACATAAGGGAACACATGCTGAGGGATGTGCAACGATCATTTATCCAAAGAATGCGGCTGTGTACTCAACATGGTGGAGATATTTTCGATCAGTTTTTGTAGATTAGGTCTTGAGTAGTGATAGTTGTTTGTTTATGTTGTTGTTATAATTGTTTTTCTCTATTACACTTGAAGCTGATTTATAATGTTCTGATTGTTATTAGTTTTTACGTCAAATCTGTACTCTTAGTGGCAATATGGAACTAGCCCACTGTTTGTCTTTTGTTTCCATGGATGATGTGATTTTTTTCCTTAATTTTGTTGTGTTTTTCTATTAAAAGCTTAATCACTCAAAATCTAGTGATTATATCTGAATCAAACCTTATACCAAAAAAAGCCTATAAAAAATTGAATTCAAATTTGCACAAATATACAGGGTGATGCATTTGAAAATTTTGAGATAAAGTACAATTCGCGTTTTGTATGATCAAAAACGAAAATTCGAAAAAGTAACAAATAAGATAAAAGCTGAGGTGTGTAACTTTTTTTTGATACAAAATTCACCACTTCTAATTTCAAAATGGCGGATTGAGGGGTTGCCGAAGTGGACGGTTTTTCTGGACAAAACACCTTACATCTCAGTATGCCATAAAATTTGAGGCATTCCATTTAAAAAATCACAACTTTGATATGTATGTCAAAATTGGGACACCCTGTATAATTGCCAATATTTTAGAAATGTGCCCTCAAATGTCATGTATAACATGCCATAAATATGCATATGCATATGCTTATGAGTAATATTCCGACCACACATGGATGGGCCACCCTGTATATCAAAATAAAACAAATTGTGGATTCTCTCAGTTTTGTTTATGTTTATGTGTACGATGTGTATAAACAGAATACGCATATACCTGAACCGTTTTCGGTAAAAAAGCTTATTGGAAAAAAATTTGAATGGTTTTTGAAATTACCGATTCAATTGCAATTGTGCAAATCATCTGGCAACTTACTCTGAATTAGCTCATGTTCATTCATGTCTTAGGTAACACATAAACTACCCTAATTTAATATTGTCTTTCTTAAGGACGTTTCACCTTGCCTGTTTATCAGTATGTACAAAATATAATAATAAAGGCTTAATATATTTTGTCCAATCAAGAGTTAATAATAACAAGTAATAATATTCAATAACTGTCGTAGACACTTAGATCTCTCTTGCATTCCAACAAAACTGGATATTGCATATACCTACCATGCATAAAAAGCTTCTGACATTACAGTCTAACCTACTCAAAGTCAAGTTCAAAATGCTAACTGAAGAACCTATAAGTATGATTCTACTAACGAAAGATCGATGCTGATATTATTACCTAGTTCTTTCACTCAATAAGGATATATGACAGTTCCATCCGCTTTCCAAACCCATTTTTTCACTGAAAACTCTGGATCGAAGCTCATTTTCTTTACTAAAATGGACAAATCTTATGCAAGCCCTTTCTAGCTGTTCAATCAGTTGTACCTGCAAGTTTCAAACATAATCAGTTATTCACGATGTGTGCGCAAAAATATCCGGAAGATTTTCAAAAGCCCAGAGAACGATATATATATATATATATATAAAAGGCAAAAAATACAATTAATTGTTAATTGGGAAATTGGCAAACTTTTTTAGGCTTTAGAACTCTTTTCACGGTAGTATCAAGCTTTCGGCAATTCTCTATGGAGCCTTCATCAGGATCTGAAACCACAATTATGGTGCTAGCAACCAAAACAGGAACGACTCAAATCAAATTGTCAAACAACTTACTCGTCGTTGAGGTTGCAGCCAAATGGTGTTTCAAAACGAACGCGGAGATGAGAGCACTTGTCACAAATAAAAAAAACAAGTGCTCTCACTCCGCGTTCGTTTTGAAACACCATTTGGCTGCAACCTCAACGACGAGTAATTTGTTTGACAATTTAAGTCGTTCGTGTATTGGTTGCTAGCATCATAATTGTGGTTTCAGATCCTGATGAAGGCTCCATATAGAGAATTGCCGAAAGCTTGATACTATCGTCAAAAGAGTTAACTAAAGCCTAAACAAGTTTGCTAATTTCCCAATTAACAATTAATTGTATTTTTTGCCATATTTATATATATATATCGTGAGCAGTAGTGATTGCCAAAGCCAACGACTAGTTGGGTACAAAATACAATTACTTGTTAATTGGGAAATTGGCAAAACTTTTAGGCTTAAGTTGACTCTTTTGACGATAAAATCAAGCTTTCGGCATTCTCTATGGAGCCTTCATCAGGATTCTGAAAACACAATTGTGATGCTAGCAAAGAAAACAGGACAGATTTAAAATGACAGACAACTTACCTCGTCGGTGAGGTTGCAGCCACAAGGTGTTTCAGAAAGAATATTGAGAAGATCGAACTTGTGATCAGTATAAAAAACAAAAGGACGGGGACATTGGGCTTGTTGAAAAACGACAGATACCTTCGTTAAAAGTTAAGAAAACATTAAAATTATATCAATATACCCGAACAAGTTAAAAATATACACGTGGGAAGACATTTTGTTGAAACAATCGGAATGCAGTCCCTAACCTTCTACTACCTCTCCACGTGTAGGACAGATTTAAATTGTCAAACAACTTACTCGTCGTTGAGGTTGCAGCCACAAGGTGTTTCAAAACGAACGTAGAGAAGATAGAACTTGTAATCAGTATAAAAACAATATATATATATATATATATATATATATATATATATATATATATATTTATATTGAGACGTGGTCCTTGTCGTCTAGACCAGTTAGGTGAAAAACTAAAGCTTCCGCCTTTTGTTGGGTACTTCGACAAAATTTAAGCAAGGAGGGCTCTTTATACTTTTTTAATCTCTCTAGCTTTCAATGGTCTTTGGCCCTCCTTGCTTAAATTTTCTCGAATTTTGTCCCAACAAAAGGCGGAAGCTTCAGTTTTTCACCTATATCTATATATATATAAAATATCAAAAAGTAGGAAAATAATGGGCAAAATCCGCAAAAAGGAGGAAAGTGGATTCGAGCAGAAAATAGGATAGGTAACCCGAGCGATACGTATTTCTGCTGGTTGGCTTCATCAGGCCCGAAATGAATGCACATACATGTATAAAACTACAAAGGTAGATACACGTGTCCACACGTCCGGATACGGGTGTAACCTGAGGAACGAAGATGGAGAGCGGAAAAAACGACACACGAAATCCACAACCTATCGGGTTACCTATCATATTTTCTGCTCGAATCCACTTTCCTCCTTTTTGCTGATTTTGCCCATTATTTTCCTGCTTTTTGTTATATACCTTTCTCCGCATGACAATTTTCTCTCTCTGTCTCTCTCTCTCTCTATATATATATATATACAGGGTGACTTTGAAGTTGAGTCATTAATTTTTAGATAATGATTGTAGAAGGAAGATAAACCAAAATATGCGTGTAAAAATAAAAAAAAATAAAAAAAAATGTTACCTTGTTTTATAAAGTATCCTCCCGACAAGTATTTCAGTGCGGACCTGTATTTGATCGTGCGGCCTTGGAGCACCGGCATGCCCTCCCCTGTGAGGTCTTAAGTCACCTGATTCACGAGCCATTTGTACTACATTAACAAAGGCACGAGGGGTTGGTTGCACTCGATTAAGAATAAGAATCATGTCCACAAGTTCAGCATTTTCGTAAACATGTGTCATTTTTTATTTCGTTTGAGCCACGCAACAAACACCACTATTCACTCACACGTTACCGACTGAAACATTGACTGACATCGTGATAAACGTTTCAAATTCTTTTGCTTTTTTGTTTCCGATGCGATGAACCGATAAGGCGGATTATATCCGTTGTTGCCAAACACGAGCACATAATATTATTATTGAGACAGGGCGGTACTCAAACTTCTAAAGGGCTATAACTTTGTTAATTTAATTTTACCAGAAAAATGTTAAAGGAAAAAAAACATTTATTTTGATCAGATCTACTCACTGTTAATATAAATGACTCAACTTCGAAGTCACCATGTATATATATATACAGGGTGTCCGCAAAGTTGGGGTTTTCCTTTTCAGAAATAACTACCCTTGAAATAACAAAGGTAATGTGTAGTGAAACGAGGGCGACCAAGTAAAAAAAAATAAAGGAAAAAGTACTCACTCTCCAGTTGACGAGAAGGGCTAAGTACGTCTCTGCCCGAAATCATACCGCTCCAACAGAAAATGAAATCAGCTGATGCGCTACCGAGCAGACGCACCATGCCAGCCACATGAGTGTTGCGAAAGTTATTCACCCCATTAGGCGTGAACGTAGATTCGTCTGTCACCAATATGCACTTCAAAAAGTCCTGATTATTGTCATGTTGATGCCACAACCACTCACAAAACCGCACTCTTGCTGGAACATCGTCAGGTTGAAGGGCTTGTACACGTTGGACGTGAAACGGATACAGCCCCTCTTCACGCAGCGTTTGCCACACTTTAGTTTTTGATACTTGCACTTCTCTAGCCACGTCTCTAGTGCTTGTTGAGGGATTCTCGTCTACGCGATTACCTCGCGTGACCGTAGCCGTTGGTTTAAGGTTGCATACTGACCTGACACACTGACCCCGACCCCCGACCCAGTTCTGTCGTTGAGCCAGTGACATTGTACCACTCCGTGATGTCGCGGCTACAGGACGGTATTAAGATATTTTTGATGTTGCAGAGCTCTTTATCTCGGTTAACTTAAGACATTGGTCTAAAAGGTACTAAGAAAAATTGCTTATATTTTCAAGATCTACACGTCGTGTAAAGGAAAACCCCAACTTTGCGGACACCCTGTATATATAAAATACAATTACTTGTTAATTGGGAAATTGGCAAAACTTTTAGGCTTAAGTTGACTCTTTTGACGATAGAATCAAGCTCTCGGCATTCTCTATGGAGCCATCATCAGGATTCTGAAAACACAATTGTGATGCTAGCATAGAAGACAGATTTAAAATGTCAGACAACTTACTCGTCGGTGAGGTTGCAGCCACAAGGTGTTTCAGAAAGAACGTAGAGAAGATGGAACTTGTGTTCAGTATAAAAACAAAAGGACGGGGACATTGGGCTTGTTAAAAAACGACAGATACCTTCGTTAAAAGTTAAGAAAAAATAAAAATTATATTAATACACCCGAACAAGCTAAAAATGTTACACGTGTGGAGACATTTTGTTGAAACAATCGGAATGCAGTCCCTAACCTTCTACTACCGCTACACGTGGAGAGGGGGAAGGCACGGAACGGTAAAGCGTCGACAGAAGACAAGTGATTGACGCAACGGAACGTGGAAATGTACACCTCCCTGTCCAACTTTGGGTATGAAGTATACGAGAGACGCTCGGTAAATCTCCACCCAAAATTACTAAAATGCTGGAATAACTTGTTTTGGAAAAGAGTGTGTGGTTCATATGAGTGCAAGAATGTGTGATATTGATACAACCTTGAAAAGATGGGTTATGTGAGTTTATATTAAAAATGTGATTGAGAAAATGTATTCTAATTTTGTGAAGATGTTGGATCAATTTGGACATGTAGCCGTTCTAGCTTTTCGCAATTCAACAGGTAGGAATAAATGACACTGAGCTGCTTAACATCAGCCTTTTTATTCATGCAATGGTCTGTCATGAAAATGTGGGTCATTTCTAAAAATGAACGTTTTGAGAGTCTTTTTTCTTTATCAAGAACCTCAATACTGCCATAATTCATAGAGTGACCTGTGTTGTTAATATGCGACGCCAAAGCACATCTTTCTGGATGTAATCTGCCATCACTTTTGTGTGACGTTATCCTGCCTTTCAGCGACCTAGAAGTTTGGCCTATATAAACTAAATTGCAGTTGTTGCAATTAATACGATAGACAGTATTGGTTGAATCAAGCAACTGAACCTTATCTTTCATTTTGGACAACAAACTGTTGACTGTGAGAACTGATTTACAAGCAAAACGACAATTAAAGGGATTATACAGCCTGATCAATTTTGGTGTCAGTTCTTTGATGTATGGTAAGACAACATAGTTAACTCTGGAAATAGGAGCAACCACTGTAGTGTTGTTGTTCTCATTAGTTGAAGAATTAATGGGTATCTGGTTTGATTGACCCGTGTTGTCATTTTCACTATTGTTATTAGTGATTGGCAAAATATTCGGAGGAGAGCTGAACAAGATTCTGTTAACCAAATACTTAGGATAGCCATTGTTGATAAATAAGACTGAAAGCTTCCTTAAATTGGAAAGATGGAAAGTACTGTCAGAGATTTTTATAACCCTGTTCTTTATTGGTTTCACCAAGTTTATTTTTATTTTAAGTTCATGGTTCAGGAACCTTCCGGAAGAAATTGGTTTCCTGTACCAGTCTACCAGTAATAAATTGTCATTGGTACGAATCAATCTTGAATCCAAAAAGGGAACAGATTGATTGTCATCTGCCAAAATTGGAGATAAAATATGTAATGGATGACCTGCTTGATGTTGTTATTCAAGTATTGCCATACAATCTAATTTTCATTAAAAAGTATGTGGACGATATAATCTTTGTCTTCCTTATGATAGGGTGGATGATATTGTTGAGGTTTTTAACGGTTATGATCCTTACATCCAGTTCACCATCGAAAAAGAAGATGACAATCAATCTGTTCCCTTTTTGGATTCAAGATTGATTCGTACCTTTGACAATTGATTACTGGTAGACTGGTACAGGAAACCAATTTTTTCCGGCTGGTTCCTGAACTTCAAGGTCTTACCATGAACTTAAAATAAAAATAAACCTGGTGAAACAAATGAAGAACAGGGTTATAAAAATCTCTGACAGTACTTTCCATCTTTCCAATTTAAATAAGCTTTCAGTCTTATTTATCAACAATGGCTATCCTAAGTATTTGGTTAACAGAATCTTGTTCAGCTCTCCTCCGAATATTTTGCCAATCACTAATAACAATAGTGAAAATGACAACACGGGTCAATCAAACCAGATACCCATTAATTCTTCAACTAATGAGAACAACAACACTACAGTGGTTGCTCCTATTTCCAGAGTTAACTATGTTGTCTTACCATACATCAAAGAACTGACACCAAAATTGATCAGGCTGTATAATCCCTTTAATTGTCGTTTTGCTTGTAAATCAGTTCTCACAGTCAACAGTTTGTTGTCCAAAATGAAAGATAAGGTTCAGTTGCTTGATTCAACCAATACTGTCTATCGTATTAATTGCAACAACTGCAATTTAGTTTATATAGGCCAAACTTCTAGGTCGCTGAAAGGCAGGATAACGTCACACAAAAGTGATGGCAGATTACATCCTGAAAGATGTGCTTTGGCGTCGCATATTAACAACACAGGTCACTCTATGAATTATGGCAGTATTGAGGTTCTTGATAAAGAAAAAAGACTCTCAAAACGTTCATTTTTAGAAATGACCCACATTTTCATGACAGACCATTGCATGAATAAAAAGGCGGATGTTAAGCAGCTCAGTGTCATTTATTCCTACCTGTTGAATTGCTAAAAGCTAGAACGGCTACATGTCCAAAATGATCCAACATCTTCACAAAATTAGAATACATTTTCTCACTCACATTTTTAATATAAACTCACATAACCCATCTTTTCAAGGTTGTATCAATATCACACATTCTTGCACTCATATGAACCACACACTCTTTTCCAAAACAAGTTATTCCAGCATTTTAGAAATTTTGGGTGGAGATTTACCGAGCGTCCCTCGTATACTTCATACCCAAAGTTGGACAGGGAGGTGTACATTTCCACGTTCCGTTGCGTCAATCACTTGTCTTCTGTCGACGCTTTACCGTTGCGTGCCTTCCCCCTCTCCACGTGTAGCGTTAGTAGAAGGTTAGGGACTGCATTCCGATTGTTTCAACAAAATGTCTCCCCACGTGTAATATTTTTAGCTTGTTCAGGTGTATTGATATAATTTTTATTTTTTCTTAACTTTTAACGAAGGTATCTATCGTTTTTTAACAAGCCCACTGTGCTCGTCCTTTTGTTTTTATACTGAACACAAGTTCGATCTTCTCTACGTTCTTTCTGAAACACCTTGTGGCTGCAACCTCACCGACGAGTAAGTTGTCTGACATTTTAAATCTGTCTTCTTTGCTAGCATCACAATTGTGTTTTCAGAATCCTGATGATGGCTCCATAGAGAATGCCGAAAGCTTGATTTTATCGTCAAAAGAGTCAACTTAAGCCTAAAAGTTTTGCCAATTTGCCAATTAACAAGTAATTGTATTTTGTACCCAACTAGTCGTTGGCTTTGGCAGTGACTACTTCTCATATATATGTTATATGCACTCACAACAATGGACTTACTATTCCATACAATGTTGCACCAGACGCTAGCTCAGCTCTCGCTAACTCGTTGCTTATGCTTTGTTTTCTATAAGTGCTTTGTAAGCACACCAATAGTATAAATAGGCCTTGCGCCCATTTCATGTTGTTGAATACCCGGTTAGACTCCGTCAAGTCAAGTAATTGTAAACGTTTGTAACGGACAGTAGTTACTGTCATCAAATAAATTTTTCAAAAAGTTAAGTTGAATTTAAATGATATAACAATTGGTGTCAGAGAAGTGGGATAGCTTCAACGCATTAGAACACGCGAACGCTCCCTAGTGTGGTGGATG